GAGGTTTAGGGGTATAGACCAGTTTATTATAATGGTCATTCCTGGTTGTCAACTTGGCTACATCTGGGATTAACTAAAATCCATGCAGTAAATACTTAAATTGTTTCTCAAGACAGTGGTTGCAGGTCTGTAGGTGTAGCTTGCTTGGTTGGTAGGATGCTTGCCTAGCATACATGAATTCCTGGGATTCCCTCCCTAGTACGGCATAAATTAACCATAGTAGTGTACTCATGTAATCCACGAACTTGAGAGTTGGCAGCAAGTGGAGCAGAAGATCAGGTCATTCTCTTGGCTAAATATCAGGCTTAGAAACAGTTTGAGATCTGAGAGACCCTGGCTTCAAACTAACTAACCAACTAACTAACTAGCTACCTAAATTAATTAATTAATAACAAGAGATAGTGTTTTGGATGTTGGAATGGATGAAAGTGACATTTTTGTTTTTTTTTTTGAGAGAAGGTTTCTTTGTGTAACAGTCCTGGCTGTTCTGGAATTCACTCTGTAGGCCAGGCTGGCCTCGAACTCACAGAGATACATCTGCCTTTGCCTCCCAAGTGCTGGAACTAAAGGCATGTGCTGTCACCACCTGGCAAGAGTGACTTAAAAAAACTAAAGATGCTGTTAGGCAAATCACTCTTCTGAAATTTATAAATGTAACATTGGCATAGCGATTGCTTCTTCTTGGTTTGTTTCTCTTAGCTTTGGGTCTTTGAAAAAGTAAGTAATGCATTACAGAAGTTCATATGAAGTATATCCTAGCTACAGGGTGCATCATTTTAATAGATATCCATTTTACAGCAGACACAGCTGAAACACAAGGAGGTTGGAAAAACTTGCTGAAATTACAACCACAGCTAGTTATTAACATAGAAAGGTTCAAACTCAGATCTGTCTGATGTAAAATTCAGTGCTATTTTCACTATTCCATGTTGTCTAGGAAAAGTCAAAGACAATTTAAATTAAAGTTACTACATGATCAAAAGAACATGAAGCAGTCTTGGGAGAGCAATACTTCCCAGAAGTCAAAAAGGGACTGTTCGTGCTCTACAAAGGTCACAATTCCATAGATTGATCTCTTGTATGTGTTAACATTTGTAGTACGGCAAGGTCTATACTTTGGTTTCTGGCATGAATAAGTAATTTGCTTATGACATTTAAACTAGACATCATCTCATTGGTGTCTCATTTAAAGTAGTGTCAGGCTTCCCATTAGTTTTAAGAAGTTTGGGCTTTAGGTCTTTTTTTTCATTTTTTCTTTTTTTGCCTGTGGCAAATGAGAGTTGGAGATGCAACTCTCCGCAGAACTTTTCCTGGATCTATAGATGAAAAGAGACAGAAAACCGCTACATCAATGTCCTGGAAGTCGTGTCTTACCCCTGGGGCTTAGTTGAAGAAGTGACTGTGTATTTGAATGAGGTAATGCTTCACATTCAGAATCTTGACTACAGTCCATAAAGGCCTTGAGTCAGGAGCAGATTAAAGTAGCAAAACCGCCAAAACCATGAGCCAGAAATCTACATCCTCATTCTAGAAACTCTCTTGGACCCATTCTTGAGCTGAGACTAATATAGCACAGCTGACTCCACTAGACTTCAATGCTTGCTTCCTAAAAGCAGAAAAGGGCGTCATTTTATCTGCTAATTTAGGGACCCATTCAGAATATCTCAGTAATTATAATATGATGCATGATGTTCTCTATCCCTTTAAATACTGAACTAAAAAGAAGCAAATGTTTATTGGACCCATTGTGCATGTCTAGCACTTGTCATATCCTCACCATATTCCCCCGAGACAGGCCTCATTGCCCATATGCCACATTTCAAAAACTGGACACCAAAAGTTAGGTTTCTCAAAATTATGCACTCAATAAATAGCAGAAATGGTATTTGCCCTTAAATATACATGGGCTGGAAATTTCTTAACACCATAAAAGGCGCGGAAGTAACAAGGAGGCAGATACTTCTGATAGTAATCTAAACAAGGACATGTCAGCCTACCTGTTTCAAAGCTTTTAATAAACACCAATGCTACCTGGTTTCTTTAACTAGCATTCTGAAAAAAACAGGTGTGTATGTGTAGGTGCACAAGGATGCACATACATGCATATATGAATGAAAGGACTAAGGTAGATACAACTTCTCATCCTCAATCACCTTCCTCCTTAGTTTTTGAGATAGGGTTTCCCATTGAACCTGGAATTTACAGATTCATCTAGACTGGCTGGCCAGCAGTCCCCAGCCATCCTCCTGTCTCTGCTTTTCCATTTCTGGGATTATAGGCACACACAGCCACACCTGTTCTTTATTTTTCCTTTGCTTCCTTCCTTCCTTTCTTTTTTTGTCATATATTTCAAGGGATCAAATTCAGTCACTATATTTATGTGGCAAGTGCCTTACCAACTGAGTCATCTCCCTGACCCTTATAAAAATACACAATTTTCCGTATAACACAGACTTCTATAGGATCCATAGAGGCTGTTTTGTATTCAGTTGGTTCAGCTTTTGCATTTTTGTTTTTCTTTTCTTTTTTTTTTTTTTGGATTTTCGAGACAGAGTTTCTCTGTATTGCTTTGGAGGTTGTCCTAGAACTCGCTCTGTAGACCAGGCTGGCCTCAAACTCAGAGAGATCCACCTGCCTCTGCCTCCTGAGTGCTGGGATTAAAGGCGTGAGCCACCAACGTCCAGCTTCATCTTTTGCATTTTTAAAATTTGTATTTATTATTGTTGTATGAGTGTATGACATGTGTCTCTGAACACACACACATACATAATGCCTAGCCTGTGTATGGATGTCTGAAGACAAATTGTGGAGTCAGTTTTCTCCTTCCAACTTTGTGTGGGTTTCAGAGCTCAAACTCAGCTCACAAAGCTTGTGTAGCAAGCAGCTTTGCCCACTGAGCCACCTTACTTGCCTGTTTTGTTTGTTAGTTATTAGACAGTCTTGCCGTGAAGCCAAATCTATGGAACTCACCGTGTAATTCAGGCATACCTAGAACTCACTGTAATCCTCCTGCCTCAATTTCCTGAGTACATGGATAATAGATTGAGGTATCACATTCCAAGTCTATAAAACTTTCTTAAAATGTCTAAAATAAATTATATTACACAAAGTACACTAAAATGAAATATGGAATCGAATGTTAAAAATATTGAAATGTTAACATATTTGCTCTTTATTGATATTCTCTATAGCTCAAATATTTTTGGAGAAAATAAATCCTCAATTTCACTCAGACATTAACAAACATGAAGGTGGCATTTTTCTATAACATGTTAGACTTGAATTCAGGAACCCTTTAAGGTATCAAAGAGAGCTTAACTGGTTTGTAAGAGAAGATACATGAATTTTCAGGAATTTCCAGCCTGATTGTATCCACTGCCCAAAAGTAATTTTTAATGATAATTTTAGTTTTTCAGAGGAGGAGTGGATTGCAGAGGGTAGGAACAGAGCGGGGGTGATGGGGAACGACTGGGAGGAAAGGAGAGAGAGAAAACTGGCTGGGGTGTTTTTGAAATTATAATATAATTGCATCATTTTCCCCTCAAACTCTTCCTATCCATTTTGCTTGATCTCTCTCAAATTCATGGGCTCTTTTCCTTTAGTTGTTACATATATACATGCTTACATACATATATATTACTAAAGACAGAAGTACCACCTCCTCAGTCCATACAATATTTCCTGGTTGTTTATATCACATTAAAAAATCTACTTATCAGTTGATGAGCATCTAGGCTGGGTCCATATTTTAGCTCTTGTGACTAGTATAGCCACTACTATGTACATGCAGGTATTTCTGTGGTATGCTAACTTAGCTTCAGTTATAGATTCAGAGTTGGATAGCTATATAATATGATAGTTTTATTTTTGTTATTTAGAAACCTCCATACTAACTTCTATCAGTTTATATTCCCAGCAACAATGAATCAGGGTTGTTTTTCATTCTCCAAGTTCTTGCCAGTATTTATTATCACTTTTTTTCTTGATGATGGTTATTCTGACTGGGATGAGATGGAATCTCAATGTGATTTTAACTTACATTTCCTTGGTGGCTAAAGATGTTAAGCATTTTTCTGATATTTATTGGTCACTCATATTTCTTCTTTTGATGACTGCCAATTCATTTGCACTTTTATTTACTGGATCATTTGCAGTTTTGCTATTGAATTTTTATAGTCCTTTAAAGATTCTAGATATTGCTTCCCACTGTGCTATACTGGATATCAAAATCAACTAATCATACTGAAAAAAGTTATAACTACAAAATAGGTTCTTAATCATTTTACTGTTTATAGTCTTAATGCTATTTATTTGTATCTACTGTATGTGTGTGGGAGCCCATAGTGACTCTATCTTGTACCTTGTTTCCAATTTGACTTAAGGTTAGAGAGTTCAAGATTGTTTTCACTCTTTCAAGGTCAAACAATAGGATGTTTGGCCCAAGGTGTAGTTGTTGTATTTCTTCCTTAGATAACAGGATGTTTGGCTAAGGGTGTGACAGCTGGTTGTTTTGTTCCTCAATGCCTAATAACAGGATGTTTGTCTTCAGACATAGCTATTAGATGTTTTGAGTGTTCTTTGTAAAAAGAAGTCTTTTGCCCTCCCCTTTGGCTTGGGGTATAAAAGGGCTTTGAAAAATAAATTTGGGGTGGATCTAGTATTCACTGGGATGCCCTTCTGACTCTATCCTGTGTCTCTGTAATTTCTTTAATATCTTTATTTATTTACCTGCCATTTCTGAATCTACACTCCTCCTTTCAAGCATGGACAGGTCTAGTTGGGCAGGAACTGACATGTGTATGGTGGAGATATTATATATTGGCATGCTGCTTACAATTCTTGATATTTAATCACTAGTTGATAACTTGATAAAGGGTGCGGAAATGGGTTTATAATCCTACAGAGATCACTGGTTAATATTTAAAACCCGTCTGAAGCCTTGGGAAGAGGAGCTTGTTTCTGTGCTGCATGATTTCCGATGCTGCGTTGGACAGAAGTTGTTACTGAGCCCAGAGCCTTGTGCAAGCTAGCAGCAAGGGCTTTACCTCGGAGCTTCCTCAACACGAGACAACCCACTAATGAAAATGAACTCCCGAGTTTCGCCATTGTTGCAACAGACCTGTATCGAACAAGACAGTCTGGGTCAGGAATTCGATGATGCTTTGGAGGTGTTGCAGCACTCAGTTGGAGGACTTCAGTACTTCCCAGAAAATCACATGACTCACTATTACTCTCACCACATCAGAGGCAATCCCAGCTTCTATGGGATCTCACCCCCAGAAGAGCCCACCTACACCTGGAGAAATGTAATAAATGAGTCTGTGAACTTGCATTTGGAAGAAAGTCTCCAGCAATCTCTGCAGAGCATACACGAAAACCAGCTGGGACAAGTCTCCCTCTTCCAGCCAAAGGGAGGAAAAGGCAGGAGGAAGGTTCGACTGTTTGAATACCTTTACCAATCTCTGTGCAACTCAGAGATGTCGTCTTGTATTCAGTGGGTCGATAGAGCCAAAGGTGTCTTTCAGTTTATATCAAAAAACAAAGAAAAGCTTGCTGAGCTATGGGGGCAAAGAAAAGGCAACCGAAAACCCATGACTTACCAGAAGATGGCCAGAGCCCTGAGGAACTATGCCAGGACTGGGGAGATCACAAAAATCCGAAGAAAGTTGACCTACCAGTTCAGTGAAGCTGCTCTCCGGAGCCTGTCTCTATCTCACCTCCGGGAGAAAGACCTCTTGTACTCCCAGTATGAACAGCCTAATCAGGAATATTTCAGTCCGGACCACTGGACTACAAACTACTATGCCTATGCCGGTTACCAGAGCTAAGCCACTCCAGCTTCTAATTGTGGTCTACCATTCCTTGCTTGCTAGCATCAGAAAACCCCCCAGCTCCAGAATTTTCCCAAAGCAAACAGCTGCTCTCCCTACTCACAGATCTCAGGCCCACAATACACAAGCAGCTAAGGAGGACTCTGTAGAATGTGGTCAGACCTTTTTTGTCCTGACAACATTTTAGGTGGTGTTTGCATTAAAAAGATGTTTCAGAAGGATATTCATAGTTTACCGGCAGATACCTTCAAATAATCATAGACTTAGTGTCTACAGATTGGGTATCCAAGAATACCCTGGAGCCAGTCTTACAAGAAATGAATGCCAAAGGAGAAGATCTCCAGGCCATTTACCAGATTTTAAAATTAATGATCAAGTATATCTCAACCAATTGAAATTATAGGCTGAATGCCTTTTGCTATACTTTTTCTTCCAGATATGACACTTGGATGATTCTATAGGATGATTCTGTTTACTGGCTGGCTGGCTGGCAGGTGGGCTTGCTTGCTGGATTGCTTGGAGACAGTGTTGCCCAGACTGCCCTTGAGTTAATGGCATAGCAGGTATATGCCACCATGTCAGGTTTATGTATTGATTTAAGCACTTTCTTGTCATGTACTGAGGTAAAGTCATTCAAAATGTACTGTGACACAGAGGTTATACCAAAATGTTCATGGCTTCATGTTTTTCTTAAAGAACAAGAAAGGCACTCCCACCAGCAGTGGAGGAGTGTCCCTCTCCAAATCCTCTCCAGCATAAATTGTCATTGGTGTTTTTGATTTTAGCTATTCTGACAGGAGTAAGATGGTATCTCAAAGTTGTTTTGATTTGCATTTCCCTGATGGCTAAGGATGTTGAGCACTTTCTCAAGTGTCTCTTGGCCATTTTAGCCTCCTCTATTGAGAATTCTCTATTTAGTTCTGTACAACCACCTTTTAATTGGATCCTTTGGTGTTTTGGAGACTTGCTTCTTGAGTTCTTTGTAAATTTTGGAGATTTGCCCTCTGTCAGATGTGGGGCTAGTGAATATCTTTTCCCATTCTGTGGACTGCCTTTTTGTCTTGCTCACTGTGTCCTTTGCTTATTAGATTGGGCAAAGGTGTGACTATAGGAAAAAAGGACCAGCCAAAGACACACACTCTGAGCCGAGCCAGAGAAACACACTTTGGCCCTGCAACCAGAACCAAAGAAATGCACCCTTACCCTGAAACCAGTGCCAAAGGAACACACTTTGCCCCTGGAATCAGAGTCAGTGAAAGAAATGCACCCTGGCCCTGAACTTGGAGCCGAAAGGCTAAAAAAGACCAGAGAAAGAAACACACTTTGGCCCTGAAACCAGAGCCAAATCTGACCCTAATTCTGTGCAGAAAACTAACCAATCCCTGAGCAGAAGCTCTAGCCAATCTGAGCTCAGCACTGAAATCGGACCAATCCCTATCCTGGAAAAACTACCCTGCCCCCAAGAATCCCTATATAAACCCTGTGTATGTTGAAAAAAAAATAAAACCAGTCTACTGTGTCCCTAGGCTCCTTAAGAATATCTGGTAAGGTGGTAATACATATATCTCTATGGAACATTTAAATATCTAATAAAGTTTTTCTTTCTTTTTTTGTTATTACATCAAAACATAATCCAAAAAAGAAGAGTGGACTTCAACTAACTGAAGAACATCTGTTCTTCAATGAATAAGAATCAAAAGACCAATCATAGCCTGGAAATAATGCTTTCAAAACACTTCTTTTAAAAAGGACTTGTATCAGCCAGGCGTTGGTGGCACACGCCTTTAATCCCAGCACTCAGGAGGCAGAGGCAGGCAGATCTCTGTGAGTTCGAGGCCAGCCTGGTCTACAAGAGCTAGTTCCAGGACAGCCTCCAAAAGCTTCGGAGAAACCCTGCCTCAAAAAAAAGGACTTGTATCTAGAATATTCAAGGAACTCTCAAAACTTAATAAGTGAACAACCAACTCAAATAGCTAATTAATGAAGAGATATGAATAGCAAATAAGTCCATGAATAGATCTAATTCATCATTAGAGACATAGAAAGTAAAACCACAATGAAATGCCACTACTCAAATGCTAGAATGACTGAAATTTAAAATAGTGACTATCCTAGATACCCCTCAACCGAAGAGTGGATAGAGAAAATGTGGTACATTTACACAATGGAGTACTATTCAGCAGAAAAAAACAATGGAATCCTGAGATTCACAGGCAAATGGATGGCACTAGAAGAAACCATCCTGAGTGAGGTAACCCAGTCACAAAAAGAGAAACATGGCATGTACTCTCTCATATATGGATTTTAGACATAGATCTGGGGAGTGCCAGCCTACAATCCCATGACCAGAGAGTCTGGGAAACAGAACCTTCATTCAGTGGCTGATGGAAGAAGAGGCTAAGCACTGAGCTGAACTCAAGAAAGCCAGTGAGGGAGGACTGATGACCAAAGGGATTAAGACTGGGCTGGTTTAACCCCCAGAAACAGCTGACCTGACAAGGGTTAATTCTTGAATCCCAGGCATCAGCCTGGGAATCCAGCATGGGACTGATCAAGACCCCCTGAATGTGGGTGTCAGTGAGGAGGCCTAGGTAATCTATTGAGCCTTGGGCAGCAGATCAGTACTCATCCCATGTATACACACGGACTTTGGACTCCCATCCAACAATGTGAGGTGCACTCTCACCCTGAACTCTTGGGGGGAGGGTCTAGGCCCTGCCCTATATGAAATGACAGACTATAGACACCCCCATGGAGGGCCTCACCCTACCTGGGGAAATGAGGGGATAATGGGGGGACTGGGGGGGAGGGCACGGGAGGAGGGGAGGGAAAGGGAGAGGGACCTGGAACTGACTTGTGAAGCAACCTTGTTTCTAATCTAAATTTAAACTTAAAAATAAATAATAAAAATTAAAAAATAAAATAGTGACTGTATCAAGTGTAAGTGAACATGTAGAATATTTAGAATTCTCAATAGTTTGATAGCTTCTTATAAGTACAAAATTCCTCCGACCACATGAGCCAGTGAGTTACATTTCATGTATTTTTACAAAAGAAGTGTATGTCTACTCAAATGTATATATGACTGTCCATAGCATCATTTTCAATAACCAAATTGGAACCAGTCTTTTGTTCATCAATAGATGACCACATAAAAGGACTATTATAATTAGGTAGTTGGATAGTATTCAGAAATAAAAATGAATGTTACTAATACCTATAACTTGAATGAACACTAAAAATTATGCTGAATGGAAGAACTGAGCTAATAAAAAGTGCACATCATAGTATTTCACTTACAGAAAATTCTAGAAGCTGCAAATTAATGTGTGATAGCATAAAGCACATCCTTGGTTTCCTTGGGGACAGAGAAGTGCAGCACATAAGGGTGGAATTACAATAAGGGAAGCTTGTGTTACTGATAGACCCATGCATAAGTTTCCGATTGCAGTTACAGTTTCATGGGTATGCACATATATTAAGTCAATCATCCAATTGTGCACTTTAAACATGCAGTATACTCTATACCAGTTTTACCCCAAATAAACTATGTTTTGAAGAGTGAGATTGAGCCTATTAGCAAAAATTTTAAATGGCACTGTATCATAGAGGTGCAGAGATGGCAAATAAGATAATTGCACACACTTCCTACAATTCCTAATTGTTTTGAGACCTCCTTTGGTATGTCGAGTCACTGGGGGGGTCAGTTTTTTGCAGAGATAACTGTTTTAGATTTATTAAATGTTATTCTCATAAAAGTCTAAATCTCTTCCCGAAATGTAGCTCACATTTCCACATTTTCCAGTTTTATGCGATTGTATTTGTGAAGAATAAATAGTTTTCCTGCAAAAGCAAGCAAAATGAGATTAAGCAACATGTCTTAGGTCATCCAGTGGAAATGGGACTAAAATGCAGGATTCTCTGTGGTTCTGCAGGGGGACCAGAGTTCTTGTCAGGTTACTGCAAGGTAAACTTGCCTATTGGAGGAAATTGTTGCATTCAATTTTAACAAGACTTTGGGAGAAAATTCATTATAATCAAAACAAAGTTGTTCCTCGTAAATGTTTGAAGCACATTTGAAGTTGGTTAACATTCTTGCATCTTAATCAAAAGGTCTCTTATCAGAATTCTATTGCTTGATAGTGCTAATCTGTCCATTTAGAACACAGAAAATTCACATTCAGCCACAGACCCAGGAACAATATCTGAGCCAACATTTCATTAACTTGTATATTTTTCCCAAACTAATGATTGGCCGTGTCCCCCTTTCCCTGAGCCTCCCCCTTTCTTTTTAGATGTTGCTGGGGAGATTTTGGCACAGCCTAGAAAGAGGAGGAGGGAAATGGGTAGGAAAAGGGGGAGTTAGAGGGTGAGTTACCAGGGCCCACTGCTCTCAAAATATACAAAAAGGAAAAAAGAAGAGTGGGAAATCTCAAGCCTCTGCACCTTTCCAAGCAGGGTCTGGGCTGTGTGAATTCTGCCAGAAAATTTAAGGTAGCTCTAAGAAGGCAGACTACAATGGTTATTGAAGATGCTTGTATGTGTCTATATAAGGGTATTTGCAGATAACATACAATCGATTACTCACAGACCCCCTGTTTTTCCATTGGAAGCCTATACAGTCACCCACCTATGCATACACAATGGCAAACAGACCTCATTTGCTACAGAGACACGTGCATACTCAAGTGGCAGAAACAAAGGGACAAAGGGACACATACAGGAAAACACAGGTTTCAAGCCCTCGGAAGATTAGTTAGTCACAGAGGGAAGAAAGAGCCATAGGTGGTAAGAAAGGTGGGGTGGGCTCAGGGTGGGGAATGGGGTGGTAGTGGTGAGAGATTGGCTTAGCAATTAAGTGTGAAAGAGAGAGGGTAAATGAGTTAGTGTGGTTGCATAGAAACTTCACCTAAGGGATTAGGAATGACTGCGCTTCAAATCTCCCCTAGTATTAGTGTCTCTAATCACCTTTTAGACACCTTCTAGTAGATCTAGTTTTCCAGCACCAATCCCAGCACAATTCTATAATTGTGGAAGCACAGAATGAA